GCCCTTGAGCCACAGAAGTCCAGAACATCGAGTCTCCAGACCCTCAGCGAGCCTCTGGGGTAGGGTCCCAAAGGCCATGGCTGTGGCACTCCTTGGAGAGCTGGAGTACATCCTCCTACTCCTCTCCCAGGCCTTCTCAACCCCGAGGGGGTGCTGGGGAGGCTGTAGGCCCTCACACTGATGCTTGAGGCCCCAGGAGGGCTCTTTTCTCTGACAGGAAAGTGACAGCCACCTGTAGGCCCTGCCCCACAGAGAGCAGTAAGCCACCACACAGAACAGAGCAGAGGGCCAGGCCCAAGTGCAGGTGGAAAGCTAAGGTGGGGTCTGTAGAGACAATCAGGGATGGTGGGGAAGAACGCCCAGTGAAGCAGCTCCCTTCACTCACTCTAGACTCTTTCAATTGCCCGTGGGGCAGGGAGGATAGAGAAGGGAAGGCCCAGCAGCTGGGCAGGCAGGATGGTCCATCCCTGACCTTGCCCCACGCCTGCTCTGGGCTCTCTGCCTCTGAGGCTTGGTGGGCTGGGGGTCTGCCAAGCTCCTTAACTGTCATGGCTTCACCTGCCTGTGCGGGTAGGAACGGCCACCATGGGGGTGTATATGAGGGGCCGAGGTTGGGTTCCTTACACATCACACGCACACACACAGAATTTGTTGTGGCTCCCACCTAGATCCCTAGAAAGCAAGGGGATGGTTTGGTTCGGTTTTGATATTGCCAACATCCACCCCAGAGCCTGAAATGTTTATTAAATGATAGAAACACAAAACACATGCATGGGGACCATAAACATAGAGCCACAGGGCCCACAGATCCATCGAAGATGCACACATAAGCGCCCAGCACACAGGCGGGCGCCCCTCACCTGCCAGGCGCTCACAGATGAGGGGAGGCACAGATTACAAAGCAGACAATGGTAATCGGGTGGGGTGAGTATGAGAGAGATGCCCGCGTGACACCCAGGCCAGCGGAGATGTACGTGTGTGTGTCAGGGTGAGTTGGGCAGCCTTGGCAGGGGAGGCCCAAGCCAAGACGGGGACTCTCAAGGTGGTGGATGGGTTCAAAGGCAAGCGGGCATGAGAAGCAAGTGGGGAGAATCCAGTGATACTACCTGGTTGGGGATGAGGCTGTGGGGAAGAGTGGGCTCAGGGCCCAGGGGCCTTCTTACGGAGCTGGGCCCGGGACGGACAATGGCAGGTGGGTGGCCTGGGACTGGAGATGAGGTAAAGGAGGCCTAGGTGGGGCCCAGAGCCTGAGGCCACAGATCCTATGATACCCTTAGCGGCCCAAGCGGGCAGGAGAACCAAGAGAGTGACAGCCTGGTGTCTGGGGGTAATGAGGACCCAAGGGACCAAGAAATTCCCTCCAAACTCAGATCTTTCCTAGACCTCATTCTGGGTTCCCCAGCCCTGAGAACAATAGGAATTTATAGGTGGCTCAAGGTCCTCCAGGCGGGACCCAGCTCCATACCTTCCAGAAGGACACCACCACCCACCTCAGGGCCACTGTGTCACTCCCTCAGCCTCTCCCCTCCGTCCCCAGGTCTGGTTCCAGAACCGCAGAGCAAAGTGGCGGAAGCGTGAGCGATACGGGAAGATCCAGGAGGGGCGGAACCCTTTCACATCTGCCTACGACATCTCTGTGCTGCCCCGAACTGACAGCCACCCGCAGGTGACACCCCACCCGGCCCCGCATCAGGGCCTGGCCCCCAGGAGACCTGAAGCAGCATTAGGGCTCTGTGGAACTGTGGGTAAATCACTCGTCCTCCACCAAGCGGGGCTCCTCCCTGTCTCATGAATGATGCGTGCCTAACAGCGGGCACGACAGGAAACCTCACTTGGCACAGTGGCAGGGGTCTCCTGGATTCCATTTCGAGGGTCGGGGGTAGGAGGGAGCAGATTCCAGACCCCGGTCAAACAGAGCTTGCCGGGTAAGTTTCTGGAGTCCTAAGGGCAGAGACAGAACCCCCAGGTAAGGAAGGCAGCCCCTGGGCTATTGATTCATGGGCCTTCTTTTCTCTCTTTTCAGCTGCAGAACTCCCTGTGGCCCACTCCAGGGTCTGGGAGCCCCCCTGGCCCCTGCCTCGTGTCTCCAGAGGGCATGCCCTCGCCGTGCATGTCTCCGTATTCCCACTCTCACGGGAATGTGGCCAGCTTCATGGGGGTGCCAGCTTCCCCTGGAGCCCACCCTGGCATATACTCCATCCATGGCTTCTCCCCGGCCCTGGGGGGCCACGGCTTTGAGCCTCCCCCAGATGGCGACTATAAGTCTCCAAGTCTCATCTCACTCAGGGTGAAGTCCAAGGAGCCACCCACCCTACTGAACTGGACCACGTGATTGGTTGCGTGGACATGCAGACTAAGCTGCCCACCCCGCTTTTCTGTTCCCAGCTGCTCCCACCTCATTCCAGCCTGGGGGCCAGAGAGGACATACCTCTGTCTCCAAGCCCCAGCGATGGTTCCTGGAGGCCCCAGCAGAGCAGCTGGGATACTCAGCCTCCTGCAGGGAACAAGCTAGAGTTTTTTTGTTTTTTTTTTTCTCTTAAAATAAGGTGGGGCTGCCCAGGACAAAGGGGGCTGCAAAGCAGGTAGGACTCTTCCTACCACACACTGGGTCCCTTCATCCAACTCGGCTCGAGGAAGACACTTGCCCTGCTTCCTTCAGAATTTGTCTGAGTTTAAGTGTCACCCCACCAGCTGAAATGGCTGAATTGGTTCCTCATTCAGGGAACCCAGGAGAATAAGAGGATGGCAAAGGTTGAAGCTGGAAAAGCTCTCTGTGACTTAGGGGAAACCTGGCTTGCGTGAGCATCTGGGGCCAGCCTTACTTCCCCAACCCACCACTAGGGGGCGAGCACTCAGCATCTGGAGCTCACAAGGGCGCATAGGCTGTCCCTGGAAATGGTGCCTGGCACCCCTGATCCAGCCTACCCCTTAACTCCTGCCCTATGCTCCCTCTCCCAACATGCCACGGAGTTCTCTCTCCCTGCAAGGGGGCAGAAAGTCCCCCAGACACCACCAAATATTTGGATTCTCTTCAATGGGATAAGGCCAGAGCTATGCCATGGAAACTGTAGGCTCCCTTGGTTTACTCATTAGATGTTGGTAAGAATAAAAGAGATTTCCACAGAGTCTAAGCCCCTGAGATCTCAACACCCCCTTTTGTAAAAAAAAAAAAAAAAAGAAAAAGAAAAATTTTAAAAAATGTGCTGCCCAGCATACTAATAAAGATGGCAGTATTTTTTGGAATAGGCAATTGTGTCGGGCTTTGGCACTTGGTTAGCTGGTCTGTGCTCAGGGTTCTGGCTGGGCCAGGCCCTCCTGAGGGGCCAGCAGGGATCCTGGGGGCTAGGGGAAGGTAGGCCTGCAGCAGGGCCCCCAAGGCTGAGCGATGCCATGCCTGGCCCTCTCACCTGCCCAGGATCAGGAAGAAGAGCCCAGCTCTAGGGCAGTTGGGCCCATGTGGAAGGGAAAATGAGGGACTGGGAGTGGGAAGGTGAGTGGGAAGGCGGAGATAAACTTGTGGCTGAATTGGCAGTGGAAGTGGGGGGTGGAATGAAAGATGGGGGAGCCCACTGAGGGCTCTGGGCTCTCCTGGGCCAGAACCATGGGGGTGAGGCAGCCCCCTTCTCCCAGAAGCCCCAGGAACTTGTCTGAGCTGTGGGGCAGAGACGAAAGCCAGGACTCTTTCTTGTGGTTTCAGAGTATTAGCCATTCTATCCTTCATCCCTACTTTCTGCCTTATCTCCGCAGCCTGGAAGGCAGGAAGAAAGCGGGCCTGGCCCTCCCACCCTCCCAGTAAACACAACCACATTGCTCAGAAGAGCTCAGCCTCAGCCAGGAGCCCAGCCACCACACCCCAGGCCTCCTCTTCCAGGCACAGAGAAACCCGAGCACACAAAGACACCAGTGCTGTGCTCATTCCCAAAGAGGCAGCAAGTCCCCATCAGGATCAGACCTTCCTCTGACAATGTGGCTAGGTTCAAGCACCCTTCAGAAGAAACCAGTGTCTTCCTTCCCTTCCCTTCATTCAAGGGCCAGTCTGCCGGTGATTTCTCTCTTCTCTGTACTGACGCTGGCTCTGAGGTCCACATGAGAGCCGTGTAGCCATCAGGAAGGGAAGAGCTGAAGTAGTAGGGACAGGCAGCCCCAGCATCTCCGAGGAACACAACACCCCCTCCCCAACCCCCCCCCCCCCCGCCCTTCACAAAGCTGGTCAGTAATGACTGGGCTCAAACCCAAATTTCTAACTCAGGGCTAAGACAACTGCACTCGAAGTATCTATACCCAAGGAGTGGCCAGCAAAATTCTGGAATTCTGTGTCACAAAGTCAGAGAGATGCAGAAAGATTAGTTTGTTCTACAAATATTTATTGAGTGGCCACTCTGTGCCAGGCATTGTGCTGGGTGCCAGAAACAGAACAATGGTCAAGAAAAAAAAAACCACAATTCCCTCTCTCACATAGCTCTGCAGGGGGTCGGGGGTGGCAGTACATGGAGAGGAAGGGATTCGTGAAAGCAAAGGAAGCAGAAGGGAGGGATGAGAGAAGAGAAGGTAGTAAAGCCAACAGAGATCCATGCAGCAAGAGTGGAGGAGGCAGGCCGAGGCTGGGAGCGAACCATGCAGGAGGGAGGCCCTGGTGGGAGAGGGCATGGGGAGGCCAGAGACCAGCTACTGGCTCCCATCCAGGGGCATCTGCCCACAGCTCATATTTTTCTGGCCAGTGACAGCTAAATGAAGAGAAAGCTAACTTTATAACCGCCCACTTCACACGTAATGAATATGAATGGGCATCCCAGAGCCTGTTCCCTAGGATTATCTGTGAGCTGATGGCTTCTCCCACCGACTGGGCCATCCCAGCCGGCCTGTCCCCTGGCTAGGACACAGGCAGCCCTTCCACCTGCTTCCCATTAGCCATCCTCCCATTCTCCCCTCCTCCTCCACACCCTAGGCACCTCACCCCTAAGACACAGCCCCCCCCCCCCCCATCTTCAGATGCCCCTGCCCCCAGCCTCACTCCCGAGGTGACCTTGGCTCTCAGCCTAGTCCCCAGGCCAGGCTGGGGGCTATGCTAACCCCTTCTGGAAAAAGAAAGGGGAAGTGGCCCCACCTGGAATCCAAAATTTAAGAGAGTTGCTAGGCTCAGTGCCCCTTTGCTAAGGCCCCTCTCTGCCCTAGTGAGGCCCACCCACCCTGTCCTAAATCTTGGTGCTGGCAGGGACACAGACCCCAGGTCTGGAGCACAGAGCCCTTGTTAGCGGGCCCTTCGGTCCAGGCTTCTGGTCTCAGTCGGGCATGAGGAAATGCTTCTCATTAGAGGCATTCAATCTTCCTTCCCCACCTTCCCCCAAGCATTTACACATCAACCTGAATTACAGCCCTTACGAGCAGACCTTCTGCAGCCCCAGACGGAACCTAGCCCAGCCTGGCCAGGAGCCGGGCATTCCCCCCCACCCCGGCCCCATCAGACGGAGGGAGCACACGCTGCACTCCCGCTCCAGCCTCATCCTGGCCACTTTCCCCAGGGGCAATGCTCTCAGGACCCATGGTCCGGACGCTGGAGCCCCCACCCTCCCCACAACCCCATGGCAGGCTCCTCCACCCAGAGTCTTCTCCAGCGCATTGGCTGGGGCTGGTGGGGCCCAGGTGGCCCTGAGGGTATGTCTTGGGGTCCACCACGCTACTGCTCTTGCTTGCTGTTGGAGGCACCTAACGACTGACAGCTTGTCAAGGAGTGTGGTGTTCTGTTCACCTGGATGCCCAGGGCACCTGGAACGAGGCCTGGCCCAGAGAAGACGCCTTCAAGGGAGGGTGGCAGGGTGGCCCGGCAATGGCTGACTTTTGGAAGCCTTCTGTATACAGAGCAGTGAGTTTAGGAGGGGACAGGCGGAGGCCTGAGACATGGTTCTGGCGCTTGAAGGGGGCAGGGGTTTTTTCCCAGGGAATTCAGGAAGTGGAAGCAAATTCAGAGTGGGCTAGAGTTGGAAGGGCCCTTAGCAGGACTACGAAGAGCGGTCACTTATGAGCTGTGCTGTCCCCCCACAGCCAGGCATGGAGGCCATTATCCATCATCTTATCTAGCCCTCATGACCATCTGTTATTACTAAACCGATTTTTATATATGAGCCAGCTGAGGGTTAAGCTCACTGAGCTCCAGGTCCTCTGCAGTCTGAGGCTGATCGTGCCAAGTGACAAGTGAAATGGCCCCACTACTGCTTCCTGGAGCAGTGGGCTTCTGAGAGGACAGAGAGAGCCAGCCTCCCGGGACAGGAGCCTGACAGCAACGGTGGGGCAGCCACACGCAAGGCCTCTGGGACTCGGGACAGAAAGACAACCCAGCTCAGGCCAAAGAGGACGACAGTAGCGACGGCCCCCAAATTACCTCGACGAAGGCACATTTGGGGCACATGAGAAGCCAGAGCAAGGCCTAGTGGACATCTGCCAAAAATCTTCTTGCCAAGGACCATGCTTAAGCAAATACTAAGTACTGACGGACTAAAGGGAATAAAAGAGCAAATGAATGCACTGGTGGTAAATGCTGGGGGCGGGGGCGGCGGGGCGGGGGGGACGACGGCATTGACATACACACTTTGCAGAGACCTTGGTTTGTATCCAGGCCCTGGCTCTCACTATTCTGTGACCATGGGCAAGTTCCTTACCCTTTCTGTGCCAGTTTCTCATGTAATGCTGGTACCTTTCAGGGTTATTAAAAGCAGTAAGATATCACATACAAAGCACTCAGAGTAGCGGCTAGCGTACAGTGAGCACTGAACACTGGCTGGTTCCTGTAGGGAATAAGCTTTCAAGAAGCATGGGGACCGGACCTGGCACCTATGTGGCACCAAGTGGTAAACGCTTTTGATTAACAAGGGCCAGTTCCCTCAGGTGATAAGGCCACCAGGTAACCCATCTGTCAGTGGATGGAAGGAGCCCTGGACCTTCAGCCTGGTAGCAATCATCAACATTTTGTGTAACTCAACCATTTACAAAGGGCCTTCATGTACCCTGCCCATCTCAGGGCCCAGATGAGAAAGAAAACCACAAAGAGAACATGGCCCACTTGTTCCAAAAGCTGTTTTTGTACAAAAGCCTGGATCTAAATGGCCAGCCCAGCATTAGCACACTCTGTGGCTAGGATATGGCTCTGCCTCTCTGGGCCAGCCCCTGGGCCCACAGATGCAGGCATTCACTTGCCCACTCCGGCTTCATGGAGCTGTAGCGTTCGTATTCTGCATCCTTGTTTGCACAAACTTATAGATAAAATTAGATATATAGGTATTTACAGACCTTTGCAAACCAAGAGGGGGAAAAAAGGGCACCTCTGGTTAAGGGAAACTTCAGAAGAGACTGGGGAGATCATAAAAAGGGGAAGGAAGCAAAACTTCAGACAGGCTGGTTCAGTGATCCAGGCTGCCTGGTGGAGTAGGAAAGTGAAAATCTGTCTTACTTGAACTAAAATCTCAAGATATATACTTCCTGTTGGTCCTGGCTAGGAACAGAAGAAAATCCATCCCACACACATGAATGGTGTCCGATTCCCTTGTCTGGTGCAAGTTACCGAGAAGCAGAAATTCAATTAGTCGCAGGGAACTTCCCACCTCAGAGGCTTACAGAAAAAGGACAGTGTTGGCTTCGCCCCTGCTGCTCCAAATCATGCAGGCTTACCCTGGAAGTCCAGCTTGGGGCCTGCACTGGGGCTCAGCCAAGACCCAGGCCAGGAAGGCACTGAACCAGCAAAAGGGAGATTCTCCCCAGAGTACATTTCCTTTGTAAGTCAAGACCCCTCAGAGACTTAAGACCCAATACACATGGCCTACAGGTAAGATAAGGGACTTTCAAGTAATTCTGAAAAGAGAACGGTCCTATGGTATCACTTGCACCAGAAACAGAACCTCAAGATGGAAGGAGGTAGAAGCGGAGATGGAAGTAGGTGGAAGCAGATGTGTCCAGGGATTGGAGGCCAGGTGCAGGCTCCAGGAGGCCTCCAACTGACACCTACCACAGAGAATCCCCTTGTCTCTTCCCCAGCAATGTGGGCTCCTGCGGCCCCCAAACACACACCTTCCCCCTGTGAGGCTGACTGCTTCCCCAGGCTCTGCGCACAGAGGTTTCCTCTCGCTCCCAACCACCCACCCTTGTGAGGGCCCAGAGCAGCTGAGCCCTCGCTGACTCAGCCACTCCCTCGCTGGCACTACAACTGGTTTGGTGGAAGCCAACTCAGAAGTGTGATCCAGAGATGCCTGGGGCTTCTACTGCGATCACATCAAACCCAGGCACACAGGACTACGGGTCACCCCAGCAGCCTGGAGCCCTGGAGCTGGGCTGAATCGATTCCAGATTGACGTGGGGGAAAACACTCTGGGTAAGTGTCAACTCCCCATTTCTCCCTTTCAGGTGGGAAAGGCAGGTAGCCTGGCAGGGAACAAGTGGGTGACCCATCAATGCTGGCAGGAAAAGCTACTTTCTAGATGGGAGATAGGGGCCATACTTCCTGCAGACACGGCAATGGGGATTGGTTTTGTTTTTTAATGTAAACAGAATACACAAACACGTTAAAAATCCCAACAGGACACGAGAGAATACACAGATATATATATAGGTATTTACAGACCCTCGCAAACCCAGAGGAGAAGTGGCATCTCTGGCGAAGCGCAGCTTCCCTTCCTACCCCCTAACCCCATCCCAAATCAAAGCATTGAGGCAGATGTAGGAGCCTCTGCAACTGCTTCTGGACGAAACTTAGCAGGAGGCTGGAATGACATCAGAAACCCCCAAAGCAAAACCAAGATTCCAACTTTCTGGCCCTGGCCCATACCCTAAACCCTTCTCCTCGGCAGGCTGACATGCCAAGAATCTGTGCATCTTGGGAAGAGTCAGCGTGACCCCTGCGATTCAGATGCAATGGCTTCCCAGCCCACTCCAGCTTTTCCCAGCCTTGGGCTGAATGAGAAATGAGCTGCAACCAACCGTATCCAAGAGAAGAGGGTAGGGAGGAGTGAAGGAAGAGGGGATCCCAAGCTGAGAGCAGACTGCACTCAGAGCAGGACGCTGGGAATCAATGAGGGGCCAAATCTGGCGTCCCCCACCAGCCCAGCGCAGCCTAGGGAGGGCACAGTGGGGCCATGCTGCCACCTGGAGGAAGGTGGGAGCACTGCACCCACGGACTGGGACAGCCCCTGGGGCACCTCCAGGTCACCCCCTCTTTCCTTGTCAGTCCCCTGCCCAGGAGCCTCACTGCAGCAGCTCCTCCCAAGAAATGGGCTTGGAGAAGACCTCCCTTTCTAACCAGAGGTCATAGTTCATCTGGAAGTCCTCAGGGAGGTCCACCCGCTGGCCCAGGACACTCTGTAGGCAGTTGTCCACAGGCAGGAAGTCCGGGTTGCTATGGGCCCGGTCGTACCGCCGGGCGTTGAAGCGTTCGATATTGGCACGGAGGGCACATTCCTCTGCCTGGAAGTCCCAAGGCCGGGCATCAAGATCTGGGACAAAGCAGGAAGACATGTTTAGGAGCCAAGCCCTTGTGGCAGCTCCCCCTGGGTTCACTGAAGCTCGGGGCCAGGCTGACCCTGGCTTGAAATGCTGTCAGCCCAGAGCAGAAGACTTCCAATCCCCATCCTCAGGAAGACTGAAAGGACTTTTTACTTTGATACAAAAGAAAATCAGATAAAAAGAGACCATATCTATAAAGAGGCCATGTTGCAGCTTGTGGGGACCCAGCTAGGGAGGGCCACGCAACAACACACTTCTCTGGAAGTCACATTCTCCCTGGCTCTCTGGGATGGATGGCAGGAAGCTCATTGTCTCAGTTCCCTGGCCAGGGCCCCAGGGGCCACTCTGGCTCCACACAAATTCACAGGGCACTGGGGCGCTGATGTGGTCACCTGGCCATGGGGCTGTGGGCTAGGAACTGGAACGGGGTGGCAGCACGCTCAGGAAAGCCCAGGAAGAGCCCACTCCACCTGGAGGCCGAGGTGGCCACCCAGACAGGAAGCACTCATGTGGATACCCAACAGCTACAGGTATGAGGGAGGTACCCTGCTAGGAGCAAGGAACATAGGGGACAATGGGGCTAATGGGCCACGATCCCTGTGTGGGACGGAGGCTGAGCTGAAGAGAAGCTGGATCAGGTTACGCAGGAGGGGAAAAGACACTGGGCCAGCCTCACAAGCCTTGCTTAAGAGTTCAGAAGCTAATGAAGGATTTTACTTAGGGAGTTAGCGCCACAGGACCTGCTTTTTAAAAAGATCACAGGGGCTCAGTTTGAGGCACTGATAGAGGGGAAGAAAAGGAGGGCAAGGAAACCATCTGGGTCTGTGAGAATTTCAGTGGTCAGAACCGAGGCAGTGGTCGTGGGGAGAGAAAAGATGGGTAAGCGTCTTGTGACAATTTCTGGAAAAGGAACTCCTTCAAGGGGACAGAGGAATGGGGGGGTGATCACATGTGCCAATCCCAGGCAGTTTCTCAATGTCTTTCCTGGAGCTCCCAGCGGGATGGTACAGAGGCAGGAACTGGACTCCGCGGGTTCCTCAGAGGGAAAGGCGACCCCCAGCTTCGCACCAGAGCTTACCGTTGCCATACGCCCAGTCGTCGTTCAGCCGATGCCGCACCTTCTGGTAGATGGCAGACATGGTCTTCATGTTGCTCTTCCGCCACTGCCGCCCCAGGTACTTGGTCTGCACCTTGAGCAGCTTGAGCACGTACAGTTGCATCATGGCCTGCTTCACCTTGAGGGCGCGCTTCAGGATGGGGGCCGACTTGAACACCACCAGCATCTGGGAAGGGCCACGGAGGGCCGGGTTGAGGGCAGAGATTAACACCTGCACCACACCCTCTGCTCACTGCTTCTGGGGTTACAGGCAGGGGAACTGACCACCTCCGTCTCCCCAGACTGAGGGGTTTCCCGGCACACTCCCACCACTTAAATCACGGGTCATCGCGCAATCTGAGGCAAGCCGTGAACCCTCTCACCACCAACGTTCCTACGTGCACGTATGTAAAATTTCCAAGGACTCACGGACATCCCCACCCCAAAGGCATCCTGACTCAGGGTTAAGGGAGACTCCCAGAATCCTGGTTGTGGTACCACTGGAGATTAAGAGGACATAGAAAAATCCCTTCTCTATGTGTCCACCGGTTTCAGGGCACGACTGAGCCTCTTCTAGCTTCCAGTTCAACTCAGCAAGGAACCAGGAATGAGCCGTTAAATGCAAGGACATGGCTACAGGCGAATCCGGTGAGAAGGATGTAGGGGCAGCAGCGAGCCCGCCCTGGGGACACCCTGGGAGGGGACAGCATGGGGTGTGGCCCTCTGCCTAGACTTCCAAGTTGTGTGCCTGCTGACTATACTAGCTCACCATGGTCCTCGAGTGCTTCCACTTTGTCAGCTTGTTCAAGATCCGAAGCAGATTGATACAGGAAAAGAGGTTCCTCCAGCAAAACTGGTTATTGTCACCTGCCTCCTGCAGGGAGAATCCGGGAACAGTTATAACGCTCACAGCTGCAGGGGCTCCGCAGTGGCCAAGGCCCGCATGCCTCTCTCAGAACTGCCGGGCCTTCCTCTCCTCAGGCCTGGAGGACTGCTATCCCAAAGGTTGGCAGGGGTATGGAAGCTCCCTAGAAATTTTCTGCAGGACACGTGGAGAATGTGGATTTTGGAGACTGTGCCCTTAGCCCCCACACCTGGGGCACCCGCACCCACCTCAGAGCTGCACCCCACAGAGATCCAGCGTGGGAGAGGGAAGCAGCCAGGCCAGGGGAGCTCTGGGTCCACAGCCCCTGAAGACCATGCTCCTGACCAACTACTCCCTATATCCACATCTTTCCCCTCAGCAAGCTCCCTCCTCTGGCCCTTCTATGCCCTCTCGGTGCTTTAAAAGCCAGCACTCAACAGTGACCTCACACTTGTGCACACCTCCATCCCCGTGTCGGGGGAGGCAGGCCCTCCACCAGCACCCCTCATGCCAAAGGAACAGCTGGGGAAGAGCACAGCCACTCACCAGACTCTCGGCGGTCAGCTCCGGCAGCTCATGCACCACGCAGTGGGGGTAATCCAGGACAGAGATGCTGCAGAGAGCCAGGGCACCCATCCTGAGCAAAGGCTGGGGGCTGGAGAAGCAGCTACAACAGGACTAGTTCCTGGCCTTCCTCACTCACATGGGAGTGGAAGTAGGACTCTGCCTTATCTACACCCCTTGGTTCCCCCAGTATAGGAAGATGAAATCCCTACACTCAGAGAGCTTGTAGGGTCCCTCTATGGCCAGAGACCAGCCTGCCATCTTGTAAAGTCCAGAGCCCCTGCTTTCCTCAAAGCAATGAGCCTAGGGCCTGGGGAGGGGGAAGATTTCTCAAGGTAATTAATGTACACCAAACCCCTTGTGGAGACAGTGTCCAGATGAGAGCTCACCCTGCGGCACATCGTCAAATCTGCTGGCCCCAGGCGAGGGACGGCAGGGGTAAGAGCAGACAGGGCCTCACGGTGCACATGGCAGAGCCCCTCAGAGATCAGGAAGCCCAGCCAAAAAAAAAGTGCAAAAAAGCACCAAACAGGGGCACCTGGGTGGGTCAGTGGGTTGAAGCCTCTGCCTTTGGCTCAGGTCATGATCCCAGGGTCCTGGGATGGAGCCCCTATCAGGCTCTCTGCTCAGCGGGGAACCTGCTTCCCTTCCTCTCTCTCTGCCTACTTGTGATCTCTGTCAAATAAATAAATAAAATCTTTAAAAAAAAAAAAAAAAAGCACCAAACACTGAGGACAGCACTGGAGCCCAGGATGAGAACCTTCCTACCTAGCACAGATTGAGTCACCTGTCACTAGAGTAGCTTAGACTCAGACTGGACATACTGGCATTCTCCACAACAGGAACCATATCTCACTCATCTTTTGTGTCCGGGGGCCTGGTGGAGTGCTGGCTTGTAGGGCTTGAACAGGCTCAGGAGGCGAGGCCAGCAGGGAGCCCTGCCATCTGGCCATACCCACCCCTTCCTGCTCCCTCATCTTTATCACCTGTTCTTGGCGGTGATGTAGGACATGATGTTTTGATTGAAGAACTTCAGGATCAAAGGGATGCAGTTGGCAAACACCAGGTGCTGGGCCATGTATTCAAACTGAAACCAACAGAAAAAACTAAGCATGCCCTTTAGGACCTCACCCTCCTTCCTCTGATGATAAAAGGCCTTGGTTGGAGAACTGTGTCTAAAAACATTCATGCAGAGCTCAAGGGGGTTTGAAGGTCAAGGCCTGGGTTCTTCAGGGCTGGAGGAGCAGCACTGTCTGAGGCCCTGGCCCAGTGAATAAGGAAGGCAGGCCCTGGAAGTACCTGGTAGACGTGGTTCAACTTAAAATGCTTGAGCAGCAACAGCAGGACAGCGGAAATGGCCTTAACAATGACCTCCTTGTGGCGGTTCACATCCACGCCCAGCTTCATGCTCTGCAACACCGTGGTGCTGGAAACACAGTTCCCCGGTGAGCCACCAGTGTGTACAGCACAGCCTTTCCTGGTGCTCACAGGAGACACGGGATTCCTGAGCCTTCCCTGGGCAGAGGCCACCGACCTCCCCAGCCACCCCACCCCGCCCCCGCCCCAACCCTCACCCCAGACACCTGAGAGATCAGGCCCGGGGCTCCTCCCACCCACCTTGCAGGCAGTCCAGCTCAGCACAATTTATTTCTTGTGAGGCCACAAACACATTCTTAGCCTGTTTCCCTGTTTGCGATTTCCTCGCAAAATAAACTTCTCCTTTTCAAATTCTTCCTAAGCCTTTGCTACCATATGAACTTAGGTCCCTCAAAGTGTATTCTATGGAACACTAGTACATTGAGACATTTCACACTATGGAGAAAAAAGGGCTTTGGTGTCAGATAAATTGAAGAAGCACAGAGTTCAATCAGTTTCTTCATTCAGGGCTTCTCACTATAAATCTCTGTAAAAGGAGGTTTAGTATTTGACTTGGGAACCTTTCTTCCAAGGATCATCATGATGGCCTTGTTTTCTGGGACACTCCCTTTGGTATTAGCCAATCCCTGTCTCCTCCCTCACAGGGCCATCACTCAAGGGGCCCAAACCCCAGGGAGCTGGGAGGTACTGGCAGGCTGGCAGGAGGTCAGATCAAGGCCCAGGTCCTTCTCAAAGCATTAAATGATCTCGGTTTGTACTCTTGTATCAAAGTGATGAGGTCAGTGCCCCAGAGAAAAAGAACCCCTAAGGATTTCACCAGCGCCCTAAGATACCCATAAATACTTTGTTTGCCAAATCACCGGTGAATAGGAAAGAACCTGCACCCCACTCAGGTTCGGCTGTTGGCTGGTAAAGTGTCCAGAAGCTAAACCTACGTGTCCTGGCTGTCCTGATCACACCGCTTTCGAGGGAGGGTTTCAGGAAATGTCAAACACAGCCTGATTCATTTTACAGGGGAGGAAAGGACATTTCCCCAGTTCACTCAGCGGCAGATTCCACATCAGAATCCAGGCCCACCACACTAAACCACTTCCCCAACCAGTAGAACTAAATATTTAATCCGATATAGTTTCTTTCTTCTCAGCCAGGAATACCCTAAACTTAACCTACAGAGAAACTGAGCCAAAGAGAGAAACAACCTAGCAAGACTGGGGCTGAGAGGAAAACACTCCCCTTTCCCCTCTACCCGGGGGTCCCGACCCGCGCCATTCACAGGAACACCACTCACGGCATCTCCTCAGGCAGGACATCTGCTAAGATGTTGATTGAGTCCGTTTTGGCCTTTGAGGTGGGGGCCGCAGCCAGCAGGATCTTCAGCAGAGCGATCTGGGGAGAGGCAGACCTGAGCCCTGAGAGGCGGTCTTTCCGGAGGAGCGCAGGTGGGCGGCAGGAGGGGCTGAAGGACACTGGCAGGGCGCACTCTCAAGGCCAGTGTAGTGGGCGGGGCCACCAAAGGGGCCCCAGACCCAGAGCCCTCCTGAGCAGGAGGTAAGAGCCCAAGAGCAGGAGCACTCACCATGTACTGAGGCAGGCTGGGAAGCAAGCCTTGGTACAGGGTTTCTGCAGGTACTTGCTCCACTTCCTCTTCTCCCTTTTAACACAACAGGTACAAATAGAGATCCCCCCCATCCCGACTGGTCTCCTGAGCCAGCTTGCTAGGCAGCTAGAGGAGCATATGTAAGTAGCAATGTAAATAAGGACATTGATCATGACAGCAAACCTTGAATAATATAACGTGTGAGGCACTTTACCTGTACTAACTCATTTAATCCTTTCTGCAACTCTTGTGAAGAAGGTACTGTTACTATTCCCATTCTACGGGCGAGCAAACCAAAGCACAGTAAGATCCAGTAACTTGCCTGAGTGTCCACCTACTGAGTGGTGGAGCAGGAGTCAGAGGCGGGTGACAGACTCAGAGTCCATGCTCTTGACCCCCACATTAGACACATGCCACCCCTGCAGCGGGAGTAAGACTGGGAGCTTTGAGGGCAGGGCCTGGGGCAGCTTTGCGGTCTGGGCCCAGTGCAGTGCCTAGGAACAGCTGGGGGTCCGGTGGCCAGAGAAGGCCTCAGACTCACCCCTGAGAGGGGAGAGCGAAGGTACTCCTCCTCCATCTGGGCCTGGACCTCTGCAATCGATGTGTACTTGTGCTGGAGAGAGAGAGCAGAGAAACACCTCTCATTCTTTGGCCGAAGCCCCACACCCTGGCAAAGGCCCTACTCAATTTTCTTCAAACACAATCTTCTCAAAAAGGGTTAAGTCACCACAAAGATCCCTAACTCAAATCCTGAAATATTTTTCTAAGTGGGCACGTTTTTCTTAAACCCAGCCTAAAAACCACATGACAGATTAGAAAACAACAAAGGAGAAAGGGGCTTTCAGGTAACTATAGAGCCAGGAGAAAACTATCAAAGGGAGAGTCAAGGATTCAGAAAAGCCGAGCAGCACAGGGCCCACTTAGCCCACTTACACTATAAATCTCAAAAATACACTTCAAAAAACCACATCAACATTTCCACTCCTGATACGTTGTCAGGGGAGACACCTCTTCCCCACTCTTGATGCTTCCTCCCACGTGGAGGGATATGCACGTGTCAAAAACCCCCACTCTCCCATCCCGTTCCACACACTCCCTCCTCCTTTTGCCAACTGGTGAGTATCAGGGGAGGTGTAGGACTTTGAGCCCAGCCAACTACTCTTTTCTCTTTAGAAAAAAGAAAAGCCTATGTTCACTTCTGTTCCTCAACCAGGCTTGGAGGGTTCCAGCACCGCCTGGCCCTGGGTAGTGAGTCTGTCTAATATTGGAAGTAAAACATAAGAGTGCATATCACTGCCGTGTTCTCATGCCTCACTGTCCAGTCGCTGTATTAGCAATTAAGCTGGTGTTTCAATTGCCATCTGTCTACTCCTCTATCTCAACTGCTTAGAACTTGGACTCAGAAAAGGGAGGGCAATTTATTGGGCCCTTTAAAACGCCAACTATCAAGTACTATCTCTAATAAACTCCCAGTCAAGTCCCCAACAAAAATTCAGCTAAAATAAGTAAAACTACAAAGAGCTGTATTAAAGGGTATTGCCACAGCCCACCCATCCCTCTACTCCAGGTTCTTTCAGGCAAACAACACTCTTCAAAAGGTTTCTCCCAATGGATTGCTCTCACTTTACTCACTTGGGACCAAAGTAGGTCAAAAGCTCATTCAAAGCTACCTACCTGTTTCAGAGTCTTGATGCTTTCGTGGATTGGCCTGGGCAGCCCCACCACTGTGTTTGTATCACTGGAGAATAAAGAAAACCTGTGTTAAGCCTAGACGCAATTTGCCTCGATCCCTGAACACCAAAGGCCCGGAGAAAGAACTCCCGTTACCTCTTTCTTCAAAAGGAAGTCAGATCACACTCACCTGCCTAGAGTGTAACCTATAAACTTGCTGCGGCTGGACTCGAGGAACATCTCAATGTCCTTCTCTCTGCCAAAGACAGAGACAAGGTTTTTACAAAATGTTACCTCAAGGTGTCATGGTCAATAGAACATAGAATGCCCAAAAATTGTGAAGCCAGGAAAAACGGTCTCCCACCATTATTTTTCTTTTTAGGGGGAAGAAGAAAAGAAAAGAAAGAAAATGAACAAATCAACTAAAATCTTCAGACTATTTTAAAGTCCTTTATAATGTTGTCAGATCTATAACCTGAAAATATTATGTGTAACTAGTTTACCGGTAAAATTAAGGTGCTACATCAAACTGAAAAGGACACTTTATTCAGCTAGTGAGTCTGTCAAAAGAATTTCTCAAAAATCTAAAGTCATTCCAACCATTAGATCTATCAAATACAGCTATTTTCCTATACGTCCTGGGTCCGTCTTAAACAACTGCCACGTCTTGCATTTCCTGACGGCTAGCTCTCCGTTGCCATCAGATATCACTGAAAACTGGGGTTTCAGATCAAGAAACTGACTTCTGTATCCTTTCACATGTCCACCAATTTCGTAAGTTGGTGGCTTTTTTTTTTTTTAAAGATCTTATTTCTCCATTAGAGAGTGAGCGAGCGAGAGCACAGGCAGGGGAGGGGCGAAGGGAGAGAGAGAAGCAGACTCCCCGCTGAACAAGAAAGCCCGATGCCCGGGCTCAATCCCAGGACTCTGGAAGCAGGACCTGAGCCAAAGACAGATGCTTAACTAACTGAGCCACCCAGGTGCCCCTAGCTGGCACCTTTTCAAACTGATACCATTTCTATACACCCAGGCACCTTCCCACCTATTGATTCATTCACACATATCTCAAACACCTTAATTATGATTCTGAAAACTCTTCCTTATTCTTTAATTTTTCTGTTAAGAACACATACAACCGGGGCACCTGGGTGGCTCAGTGGGTTAAAGCCTCTGCCTTCGGCTCAGGTCATGATCCCAGGGTCCTGGGATTGAGTCCCGCATTGGGCTCTCTGCTCAGCGGGGATCCTGCTTCCCCCTCTCTCTCTGCCTGCCTCTCTGCCTGCTTGTGATCTCTCTCTCTCTGTGTCAAATAAGTAAATAAAACCTTTAAAAACAAAACAAAACAAAAACACATACAACCCCAGCGTAAGTGGAGATGGGTTCAGTTACATGTCCTGGTTCTCCTTTTCCCTACTTCCCCTTCATTAGTACGGCTAGCCAAAAGCTGACTCACATTACTGATTCAAGAGCCATACATGGGTTTCTCTGAGCAAGGCCAGCGCCCTGAGACCTCTGGGCCAACACAGAGTACTTTAAGGAGCTTCATCCCAGAGCCAAAGTCAGCCTGGCCCTGCAGAGGACCTCTTCCTGGGGCTGGGAGGCCTCTGGTTTTAGGAGCCACGAGTATGCCAGACATCTGAGCCTCACCTGACCTTGGGAGCCCACGGAAGCCCCTTTGGGCAGGTGAGCCTGTCAGTCTGAGGCTGCTGTAACGGGGGAGGCATCACTTCATCCCGCTCAAGGGGGAATGTCTCCCCCTCCAGACTGTTGTCATCATCATTCTCCTCTTCCTCTTCCCGAGAGTCATCAGCCTTGTAGGGATCCCGCTCGTTGAAGGCATCCAAGTTGTCCTGTTTTATCAGTGCCTGAAAAGAGAGGGAAGGGGAATCAGACAAGTGCCAACCGAGCAACCATAAGGGCAAGGAGGCTAGAGAGGCTATAACAAAGAAAAGTGGGAGGCGGAGCCAAGGGCAGGGGAAAAAACCTGAGAGGAAGGCCAGGCTGGGCCCAAAAGGCTTTTCTTGCCCCAGTGTCTCAAAAGTGCCATGCTGTGAGTACCCACAGTGCTCCGGACGCTGGGCTAGAGACACAGTGTCCCCGGCCCAGAGGCCTTCATTTGGACTAGCTGGTCAGAGAGGATTTCCAACAAGCCCGCTTACCCAAGGAGCATGCTGCCATGCGCTGTGCACCTTGGGACCCTTGGGACTCACAGGGGATATCCGTCACCCTCACCTTGTGCTCCCGACGGCCCCGCTTCTGCTGCTGCTCAATCAGGTCCGAGGCAGATGCTGGCGGAGAGGCAGCCCTCATGTTGCGGATCACCTTGATGCTGTCCTCAGGCAGCGGGGGGAGACCCAGGACCATGCGCTTCTCAGCCTTCATGCTCTGGAGTTCCTCAAAGCCACCCAGGGTGCACTGTATCACAGACAAGGGCAGGGCCAGGCTCATCACCTCCACGAGTGGGTCCCCAAGCCCTGCGTGACACCACAACCTGCACCATCTCTGAACAAGGGACTAAACCCATTCACACGAGGATCCAGCAACACCAACGTGGGAGCAGAGCAGTCAGACCAAGGGAAGGAGACATGCAGGCTGACAGAGCTAGAGGCCATGCTTTGCTCCGTATGATACACTCATCATATCAGGAGGGCAGACTGAAGAGCCTACTCCTTCAGGTTCCTAGAAGAGTCTGTGAGACTCACATGCTTCAAATGCTATACATGCCAGTCTTTCAAATTGGGGATACACTGTTACATACTCCCCCACAAAAAAACAACCCAGGCTCCCTCTCATCATGCCCCTAGAAGCCAGACCCCAGCGGTATTCAGCTTTCGTCTCTGGCTTCAGTGAAGCTTTGTGAGGAACCAAGAGGATGTCTGACCAAAATAAAATGTGCACACAGCTCTAAAGAGGCCCTAACCTCCCTGAGCCTGGCTCTGCAGAGCTGGTCTGCTCTGGAAGGAGGAGGTGAGCCCCAGGGGGAAGGAGGAACCCCATCCGCAGATCCACTGGGTGCAGAAGGGCACTGGGCAGGTTGCTGGCCATTCATCCCCCAGCCAGAAACAGGCTCTACACAACCCCCTGAGGAAGAGGGCACTAGCACAAGGCTTGCTCTTGCTTCCCTCAAGGGACCTCTGACCGAGGGGACCCAATTACACCAGCTCTAGTTCTGTCTCCAATCACTTCATACACTCCAGGTTCGGAAGCAGCCTGTCTGGGGAGAAGGTGTTTTATGACTAGAGGAGCAGCTTGTAGGTGTCAGGGAGCCAACTATCTATTCCGACCCAAGGGCCAATTCCTCTTCAGCTATAGTGAGACAAAAGTGCTGTTTTGTTTTAAACCTAAGTTTTATAGTTTAGTTATTTATCAATTTATATATAATTTTTCACATAATTCAATGTTTAAAAAGATATATAGTGAAAAGTCTGTCTCCTGGCCTGACCCCTAGCAGCTGAGTTCCCCTTCAAGGAGGTACTCACCAATACTGTCTTCCAGAGCAGCAAGAGAACTTTCTTCATGGGGAAGTGAGGGGCATGGCCACTGCAAAATTTGGTCACCATCCCAAACAGCATGATGGCAAATGGTTCATTGTTGTACAGGGGGGAACCTAGAGGCAACACAGAGGGATCAGGACCACCAGCAGAACAGGACCCTCCCAAAGGCCAGCAGCCTCGGCTCCCAGGCAGGGCCTCAACACCCCAGGGTCTCCAGGGCCCTACCCAGCTCAGCCCTGAAGGTCTGTCGCATGGTCCTCCACTCAGCCTTATCACCCTCACACTCCTGATGAACAGTCTCCACAATCAGGTACATGATGTTAAGCAGGACCCTGGGAACAAGAGCCAGCTCATAATGTTGCACAATCGTGAAGCAAGGGAGCGTCCTGGCTTCTCCACTGTCCAGCTAATGTGAGGAAAGCATGTGCACAAAGGCTAGTTGGTGGCGGAGGGCTGTGACACAGAGCAAACTGAGAGTCCCACAGAATGCCCCTTGTCCTTTCTTTGTCCTTTCTTGTCCTCTGCTGTTAAGGGCATGACCAGATCTTACTCTGCTTTGCATGCCAGCATCGAGCTAGGTGTTTATCCAAGCAGGCACTTCATCAATGGTTGCTGACTGGATGAATATGAACAAGAATGGCCCAAAGCATTTCTGGCCCTAAGCTCCCCTGAGCAAGAAGAGCTCAGAGGTGGGAGCGAGCTGTGGAATTAGATGCCAAGTCAGACAAAGCAGCACAGGGTCAAAGCAAAAACAAGACTACGCAAGTGCTACCATGCTAGAGTGGAAACTGGGAGCCAGGGGCAGTGCCCAGGGTCGGGACCACAGTGGAGAACACCATGAACACCCAGTCTGAAAACTCCCAAGCTCACAGAGACAGATGCTAGGCCTCACAAAATGGGAAGGTGACCCCATTGTTCAGCAGCTGCTATTACTGCCTGTGGGCAGGACATCGTGAGGGAGATGGGGGTCAAGCTGCGCAGCACCAGAGGGTGGAGCCCGAGGAGCCACACGGCGTACGTTCCACCGAGCACAAAGCACCACACCAGCAAGCTGTCAGCAGCAGTGTGGGCAGGAGGCTGCACGTCACTTGGGCTCTATTAAGTGGCTTTACCCAAGATTTCCTGCCGGGGCAGTTCTCAGCCCAGAGCCCCACCAAGGGAGAGCCCCCGCCCTAACCTGCACGGCCGACTCAGGAAACATGGAGATGGGCGAGCACAGAAGGAGCACACACATAGCAAGGGCCCCCAAAGACATCCTCCCGCTCCCAGCTCTGATCTCATTCTTAGGGAGCCCAAGCCAGCTGCCTGCCTCACCTCAGGTCTGTGCTGTCTGCCAGGGAGATGGCCGGCTTCCTCACTGCGCTGCTGCAGGCCGCACTGTTGCTGCAGGAGACATCTGGGAGTCAGGCCCTCCCCCAGGAAGGAAGACGAGGAGTTGCCCGGACAAGGGCCGCCCAGTGGGGGAATGAAATGCTACGATAAGTGCTTCGACTGCAGAAGAGCCCACGGTTCAACCCGACTAGTCAGAACAGAGCCTGGGACCACCCCGTCAGCCCCACTTGGCCCATGCCCCCTTCTCAAAACCACTGAGCTCTGCCAGGCCTGTCCCCTCAGCCCCTGCCTCCCCTTCCCTACTCCAGCTCCTCAGAAGAACTCACTCTATCTCCATGTTCAGAAGCTCCACCAATGCATTGAACGTGCCCACCTCCAGGAGCAGAAAGATGTTGTAGCGCATCCAGGACTGCACCTCTGCCTCCGAGCTGCACTCTCCAAATGTGCCTGCAAACACAGGCACAGCTCGCGGGGGCCCTCCCAGGATTGCACTGGACGGCATCACTGAAAGCTGCTGCAGGGTGCCTGGGGGGCCCGCTCAGTACCTTGGGCAACATAGAGAATTGCTCGAGCCACCTTGAGTCTTTTCTCCCTGGCAGTGACTTCCAGGCCATCCAGGAGCCTCATGGCATGGGTACGGTGCTGGTTGGTATCCAGCTCAGTCCATTTCTTATCTGTTACTGTGGGGCAAGAGATCAGGTGCACTTGAGCCCAGAAAAATCCTCACGATGGAATGAACCTATGTTAACTCACCACATTCAAGACTGTCACAAGGCCAGAACACTCAGAGAGAGAAGTTAACTCTCTAGGTAAGGCAGAAGGTCACGTACTGCTCTACAAATTTCCAGACTAAAACACCGCTGTTTTTTGATGCAATTTTAATCACATAAAGCTTTTCCCCCCAGTACTCACACTCTGCAAAGCCACTATCAGAACACTAGCAAGCCCACCCAACGGTCACATGGGGCCTGGCACAATCATGGTTTGGCAGGTTTCTTGGGCCAGTCCAGGATGACTCAAGTCACTCAGATGACTAAGAGAAGCCCTGCAGCTCTCAGGATGCTGGGTCAAAGAAACCAAGAAGTGTGGGGAATCATCTCACCATGGATCCGGAAGTCCTCCTCAAAGCATTTTCGATTCATCAGGAATTCTGGCCCTTCTGTGTAGCTGTAAAGCTCTATCAAGAACAAAGTCTCATCAGCTCCATGTCCACATGCCACAGCAGGTCTTGTCCGTAGCAGAGACTATAAGGCATTTGCCTCTAGGCTCCACTCTCTCCCTGAGTCACAGTGACTCTTGGACTATCCAGTTACTAAGGGCGTCTTAGTGCTCTGACGTGCACAATGGAGAGAATGCGGACTCCCCTTGCAGCACACAATCAGAATGCTGGTTACACAAAAGTCCAGGCATTTCCAGTCTGGTGCACATCAATCCCACCATGCCACGATCTCCTAAGTGGCCATGATCTCCTAACTAGGACCTGTACTCAAGTGGCCATGATCTCCTAACTAGGACCTGTACTATGGAGGCCTGAGAAGCAGCTCAGGCTAGCCTAACGTTACATGTGAGTAGCAGTGGCAGCAACACATGTGCACAGATGCAGGCACACCTGTTGGCAGACCTCATGCACGACCTACTGCTCTAGGAGAAACCACTGTCAGGCAGATAGCGTATGGCCCAGGGGAACCACTGTCTGAGACTGGGCCATAGCCAGCTTAGCTGACCACAGCAGAGGGGCTTCACCAAAGCAAAGGAAAAACCAAAGTTATGAGATACGCATAGCTGGAACCCCATAATTAACACGTATGTATATATATATATATGCATATATATATATATATATATGCAAGTTCATACAACTGATATATACGTATATATATCACTAGGTAACCAAAGGAAAAAATGAACTCCAAAATGACATTCATTCTTAATTTTATTAAAGACCAATACAGAAAAAAAAATCCTAAATAATAAGAAGGTCTGTGCTTTACCCGAGAGCTCTGCAGCCCACTTGTCTGTGTCAGCATATTCAAACTCGAGATCTGGCGACTCGGAATAGCCCTGAGGAGGAGAGGAGACAGTAATGCAAAAGACCACAGTGAGTGTTTTCTGAAGGAGGAAATAATATGCGTCCAGAGACACTGCTGTGTTACAAGACACCACTGCCTCCAATTTGCTGGGGTTTTATCACATTTTGTCTCCGGGGCTAGCTCAGGTTTTCCTATTGGGCCCTTGCAGAGCACCTTCCACTTTCCCTTAAGAGCACAACTTCTAATTATATGCCAGCATGTGTATTTGTTTTGTGTCTGTCTCTCCACAATATTCAAGTTCCATTCCTTGAGAAGGAGAACTTTGTCCACTCTGTTCACCAGCGACTTCACAATGCCCAGCATACTACCTCGCCTGACTGAATGAATGAATGAAGTTTTTTTTTAAAGATTTTATTTATTTATTTGACAGAAATCACAAGTAGGCAGAGAGGCAGGCAGAAAGGGGGGGGGCAGACTCCCTGCTGAGCAGAGAGCCAGAAGTGGGGCTCGATCCCAGGACTCTGGGATCATGACCTGAGCCGAAGGCAGAGGCTTAACCCACTGAGCTACCCAGGCGCCCTGAATGAAGAATTTATAGTCAAATAAATTCTTGTGAGATAAATGAACACAGAACTTCTAAGCATCCTGTGCAGTGAATGACCCCTTCCATACAATGCTAAGATTCCGGAAGCCTCGCTTTTTTCTGGCTAGTAGTAGGCCATCGACAGCTCAGGACAAAATGAGTATTGATACCCTCAGTTTTCCTACCCTTTTCTCAAATTTCAGTGAGAACTGACAGAGAAGGCGCAGTCTAACAGAATGGTTTCCCTCCCAAACACACAGGAGAGAATGTGACGGAGAATCTTTTCACTGGTAGGGATAGGTGATCACTGAGAACACAACTTGTGCTGGGAAGAGAGAAGAGGTGACAAAGTAGGTAAAGTCTTCAGGCCTAATTATAAGCTACTTAGGAAGACAAAGACCACCCACAGAATGACATAACAAACCCAGACACTTTGAAAAACATGAAGAACTCTACTGTCAGAGGCAACAGACTGCACACTTTCACAAGTTCCTGAGCTTCAGTTCATTTATGGAATGGGGATGACAAAAATCTATCTTGAAGGTTTTTAAGGACTAATCAAAATTATGTAGCACACAGTGGGCTCTCATCAAGTGATGTCCTCCCTGTCCTCCAGGCATTGCTCAGGCTCCCAGGCTAACTGATTCCAGCTTTGACCCAAGAGCTGAGTGCAACACAGACATCTCTTAAGAAAATAAACTGAAACAGATCTCTCAGCTTAAGTGTTCACTGGCTGGCCTTCCACGTGATGAGTCTATATGAAAATTAAAGGATAGAAGGAGAAATTCAAATGCATCAAAGGGTATTTATTTGATCTTTCAAGACAACCTAGAAAAATCTTAAACTGTAACTCCTCTCCTGATAAGGGTGGGCTCACCCCACCACTTTCATAATCCTCCATCACCCCACCAGGCAAAGGCTCCTAAAAAGTCAGCTTCCCTGCTTTTTCAAATAATTCCCATCAAGCTCAGTGCACCTCTATTTTGGACTTGCCAAATTTTGACACGCTTTGCCAGAGATTTGTACTTGACAACAAAATACAAAAGCTTGAGAGGAATTGATTTCACTTATCTTCAGCCTTTGGTATGACCTGGTATACTGCGTCTGGACAAAGGAATTCCCTCTCAGTAATAAGAGCTTTACTGCTGATCAGCCTCTGAGTTCTCTCGTAAAGACGACCTCACAGTAAATACTCTGGGAACGTACTGATTAAGAAGCCCTAAAATGCTGCGACGTGCGTGTCTTCATTCATGAAATCTACATTGGGAGGGAGTGGGAGGAATTCTTTAACTCGGGGTGAGGTGACTAGTCAGCTTCAGACTACGGTGTCTCCGGAACCGGAGGAACAGCCCACTAGCAAGAAAGGGAATGCTGAGCCCTAATGCCTGTTTACAATGTATATTTGTGATCGTTAACACTTCAGCATCTGGCGCACTAGGCACTGTGAAACTACAGCCTGGACCTGTAAATAGCTAAGGTCAGACCGAACTGGGAATGTTACCTCCGCCTACTTACTCTCAAATCTCCGGGCGAGTAGTACTATTAGTGATAATTAACTCCGTCCGGCTTCCAGCTCCCTTCCCTGCCCACACACACCGCCCACCGCACGCTGCGGAGCCCACAGGACCAGGCGACAGAGATGATTAGGGGTCTGGGTGCAGCCGCCCGCCCCCTGGAGCGCACTCACTCCAGTAGACCACTGACTCCTCACCCCCGAACTGGGACCGGGTGCGGCTTCCCCAGGGGCTGGGGCCTGGAGGCCGCACCCTTAGCCCCGGCCCCAGAGAAGCAACCGAGGAGTCGCTGGCTCCGGGAGGTTCTGGCTAACGACGGAGCTCGGGGATGGGACCCCGGCTTCACGCCCCCGGCCCCAGGGGTGCCAATCTTGCTTCCTGCTCCTTTCACTGTAGAATGACAACTCTCCCACCGGGCTCTCTCCAACCTTTCGGAAGCCCAGCTGGAACCCGAAAACAGCCCCGGGCCTGGGTCCCCCGCCGTCACCCGCCCGGTGCTACACTCGCCCCCCGAAGCTCCTTACCTCCGAGTCTTTGCGCTGGTTGCGGTTGAACTCTCGGGCTTTCCCCCCGGGCAGGAGGCCCCCGCCGGCCCGCGGGGCTCCGGGTGGAGGCTGCGCGGTTGCCGGTGGCGGAGGTGGTGGCGGCTGAGGCTGTTTGTTGTTCATGATCAGCGGGCCGGGACCGCCGGCTGCCGGCTCCATCTTGGCTGCTCCACACCCCCAGCTCAATTCACGGACTGTAGCCGTGATGCAACTCTCGCGTGATTTCATCCAGGAACCCTCCCTGGGGTCGCCATATTAGGTGTGGCGGCAAGTGCTGGAAGCCATCTTGGCTGCCCAGCACCTCGCGAGATTGCTTCTGCCGGGACTCTTCCTTTCTCTGTCCTTTTTGTTTTCACCCCTTTTCAGTACTTGTTTAGGTGCAGTTTGATCTGTGAGTACTCCCATAGCTCCTTAGGTCAGTTTAGTTGCCTCCACCTTGCTTTAATATGGCTTTGCACTTGTCAGTGTTCTAGCTCTGTTCAAATCTTAAGGGGATATAACAGTTAACACAATGGACACGATCCCAAACTTCACGGAGTTTATGCTCACATGGGGGAGTTAACGCTAAACAAATGGATAAATCAGTAAAACAATTAGAGTTGTGACAAGCATGCATTCATCATTCAACAAACAATAAATGTCTCTGTGCTTCCAGGCAGTGCGAATGAATGGGGAACAAATCAAGTTCCTGCGCTAATGGTACCTAACATAGTACCGAGTGGGAGAGAGACGCGATGAGCGATACGCTATTAGAGAAATAAGTGTTGAGAAGAAACAAAAAGAATTGTAAGGGATTAGGAAGTGGCAGTGGTGATGGGACGCGTGGCTATTTAGGTCGGGTGCCCAGGAAGGCGAGCCTGAGAGTATGATTTTAAATGAGTTCTGAAGAAGTGAGAATCCTGCAAACTGCCAATGAGCAGCTTAAGCAAAGGGACCTGAAGTCGGATGGCAGGTGAGTGAGCCAGTGAAAGAACAGGAAGAGGTTAGGGCTAGATCATCCCCCAGACAAATAAATTTAGAGCCGTGAAGGGCATGAAAAAAAATTGGAATTTTATTCTTAGTGAAAAAGAAAACCATCAGAGGGTGTTAACCCAGGGAGCTGACGTGGTCTGATGTTTACAAGACCATTGTGACTGCGTTTTGGAGAAGGGATTGGAGAGTTGAGAGTGGAAGAGGGTAGGCAGGTTAGGACACTTCATGGGACAATGACGATGCTTGCACCAGGATGGAGTTAAGACATTTCTATATCATGTAGGTAGATTCAACAGGATTTAGTGAAAGGCTGGAATCCTCCTGGCGGAATAGAGTGGAGTAGATTTTGGCTGGAGCAACTAGATGAGTGGTTGTATTGCTTATTAAAATAGGGAAGTCTGGGAGAAAGAAAAACAGGTTTAGGAAGAAGATCAAGATTTCTGTTTTGAGATGCCCATTAAACTTCTTAGAGGTAATGTTTGATAATTACCTGTTACTATACTTTGAAGTCCTTAAAGACATTTCCTCCATCTTTGTCTCTCCAGAGTTCCATCTTGGCTACTCCAGCTCAATTCTCAGAAAGTCCCAATGAGGCAACTTTGGCGAAATTTCCATCATCCAACCAGTAAGTGCTTCAAAAGTATTTGTTGTAAACTAATGAACAAATCTAAAGCCACTATATTGCTATTTACTTCTACTGATGTTCCTGTCCTTTGCCCCTTTCTTCTCAAATCCAGTAGTATACTTTGTCAATTAGCATTTCATCCAAGCTGGGCAAGGCCAAGGTGATAGGAAAAACTAAGGAATTTTCAAGAAAAGGACTAATGTGGCAAGTCTTCTTGGATAAAACCAGCAGGTCCCACAAAACCCAAAACATAACACCTCTCTAGTTTTGCTTACCAGTTTGGCCAAGTTCTAAGACTGACCTACCACAGCTTTTATCACCTGGGGGAGTTGGGGGGCGCAGAATAGAGCTTTAAGTACCCTGTACTGTTTCATCTCCATTCAGGATAGGGAGGACTTAAGGTTTTAGTTCAGTAATTCCACTTCTAGTAATAGATCCTAAAGAAACAAAGACTTAGACAAAGATATATGTATGATGATGCCAGTGGTATTTTCAATTGTGTAAAGTTGGAACCAACCTGATTTGAGGAATAGCCAACAAGAAAATAACTAACTAAAAATGGGGGCATGGATAAAATTGAATATACAGAAGCCAGGAATATTTGTGTTTAATATTAAAAGAATTTTTAGTGACACTTTGGTGAATGGTTAAGACTTCCTTCTTTCCTCATCTGTAAAATGATGATAATCCCATCTGTCTTATGAGGCTATAGATCAAATGAACTCATTTATGTGAAATCATTCTGAAAACTATGAAGCATTTTGTTTTGTTTTGTTTTTATAAAGGATTTTTTTAAAAAAGAATTTTGGGGCACCTGGGTGGCTTGGTCGGTTAAGGGTCTGCCTTCGGTTGAGGTCGTGAGCTCAGGGTCCTGGGACTGAACCCCATGTCAGGCTCCCTTCTCAGTGGGGAGTCTGCTGCTCCCTCTCCCTCCACCCCCCCGCCCCTCCCCCTGCCCATACTTACTCTCTCTGTCTCTGCCTTTGTTTTTCTCTCAAATAAATAAATAAATAAAATCTTTAAAAGAAAGAGAAAGAATATTATGGCCAAGAGGTGAAGCCTAAGGTGAGAAGGCACTTCTTTCACCACAAGTAGTTTTGGTTCCAGAGACTGGAGGAAGGGGAAGTGCATATTCAAGCTGTTACAGCATTGCGGGGGAGTGGGGGGGTTGCCAAGAACATGGTGGTGGTCCTGGGTGGGCTCCATAGTAGGAAGTGAGCACATACTATATGCCTTCAGGGTGTTACCTACCAGGCAAGATGCTTCACATCCATATACACCTAACTGCATGCTGGGAGGCACTTTCCATCTTAGCCTTGGTCAGGTTATTACCAGTCCCTGAAATGCTCAATATTAAAGTTGTGACTTGTTAGAGCATCTGTGGGCCTGGTCTAAACCTCTAGTTGTAGTACTATGTGGCATTTTCTCCACTAATGGCCATGAGAAGAAGAAAAAGTGGATAATGTGACAGTTAGTTAGTTAGTCAATAGGGCAAATAACATTAATCCTGTCTTCCAAAGGAATCAAGCAGCTTAACTCTGTCCCAGGACATATTAGTTAATGACTTCCTAGCCTTCTTACCTACTTCATGGCTTAGTCAAGAGAGGACCCAAACATACATCTGATGGCTGATTTGACATCTCACTCAGATGTCTAACAGGCATTTCAAACTTAGCACGTTACAGACAGAACTCTGAATTCTCCCTCCCTTTTCGCAAACTGGCTCTTCTCTTGTTTTTCCTTCTCTGGATAGATGATGTTCCCAACCCTGTCCACTTTTCACAAGCCAAGACCTAGGACACATCCTTAACTCTTCCCTGCTTCACCCCTTACCTGTACCTACCAGTGGCTCTCCCACCAAAACCGTACCCACGCTCCCATTTCATGAACATCACTACTATAGTCTGCCTTACTTCCCTCCCTGCTATTTACCTGACTCTACCAGCAAGCCAGGCTGGGCTTTTATTATTATTTTTTAAATATTTTATTTATTTATTTGATAGAGAACATGAGTGGGGAGGAGGGGCAGAGGGAGAGGGAGAAGCTGACTCCCCGCTGAGCAGGGAGCCTGACTTGGGGCTCGATCCCGAGACCCCAGGATCACGACCTGAGCCGAGGCAGACGCACACCCAACCAACTGAGCCATCCAGGTGCTCCCAGGCTGGGCTTTTAGAACCCCAAAGCAACTTGTATAACTGATTTGCTCCCAATCTCCCATGGCTTCCCACCTCCCTTAGATTTATTTTTTTATTTTTATTTTTATTTTTTTTTAAGATTTTATTTATTTATTTGACAGAGAGAGAGATCACAAGTAGGCAAAGAGGAAGGTGGGGATGGGGGGGGGAGCAGGCTCCCTGCTGAACAGAGAGCCTGATGCCGGGCTCAATCCCAGGACTCTGCGACCATGTCTTGAGCCAAAGGCAGAGGCTTAACCCACTGAGACACCCAGGTGCCCCCCATCTCCCTTAGATTTAAATCCTAACTCTTTTTTTTTTTTTTTTTAAATCCTAACTCTTTACCCTAACATCCAAGGCTCACGTGGGCCCCCAGAGGGCCCTGCCTGTTTCTCTGACCTCCTCTCCTGCCACTCTCCTCCTCTGGCCGCATGCCTCTTGCCTCTTGCCCCCCGCCCCAGGCTCTATCTCTCTAGCAGGTCAAGTTTGCTGCTACTTCAAGACCTTGGCACTAGCTGGTTTGTTGAAGTGAGGGGAACAGGGAGCTTGGAGTGTTCTTTCTATAGATAACAGTAATAATAATAACAGCAACTATGTATATATCCTTAGTTTATGTCAGGCACCGTGCCAAGGACCTAAACTCATTTAATCCTCACACCAGTGCTCTGGGATGGATACTGTTGTTTGCTGCTGAAGAAACAGGGATAAAGAGAGGTGAAGTATTTGCTAAAGGTCACATCCTGTCTGAGACCGGCTTCCCTGAAAGCAGGCTCTGAGGCAGAGATCTGCATCTGGGAGGTGTGTTGGAGACCGACCCTGGTAAAAACCCCCTTAGGCAGGTGAGAGCACCAGGACTGGGGGAGGGAGAAGTTGAACTGTGACACGAGATCTCGGTGGACCCTTCAAGGCCCTGGAGAGCGGAGTTGTCCTGCATTGGAGGCCAAGGAGTCAGGCCTTTATATTCCTTCGTGGATGACTCCTCAGCTGCCAGACTGCCTGGGCGAGGGGTATATCTTTAAGCTAAGGGAGCTCTCTTCACTGGAGAAGGACTTCTGGAAACTGCAACTGCTAAGTAGCCAACACTTCGGGCACCGGAATTATGAAAGCCCCAGCCCCGAAAGGAGAGTTTGAGCAGCGGGTCACCGTCCCCAGGACACACCGTGCCTTAGTTTCTAGTTCTGTGTAACAAGCTACCCTCACATTTAAGGATCAAAATAACAAATAGTTATTATCTCATCGTTTCTGTGGGTCAGCAATCCGGGGATGGCTTTGCTGAGTGCCTCTAGCTCAGGATGTTAAAGCATAAATTGTTCTAGCACCTGTTAATGTGGTAAGGAAGACTTCAGTCCAGATTCTTGGAATAGGCGTCCAGACTATCCCTAGGTGAG